ATATAATATTTTAGACACATTCTAGACAGTTTATCAGCTAAAGAAAGTTAATTTTGGGGTAAGTTACTCTTTAAAAATAGTATTGTAAAGTATTACTCTTATTAATCCGTCGCTGAACAGAGTGAGTTGTTTCTGAGGCAGAACGAGGTTCAGGCTTCCTGCTGTAGGTGGAAAATGCAGMCCTGCACTTTCAGAAGCTTCATGAAACTCGATACTAACTGGAGTCTATTTTGGATGAGCCATAAWATGACTACAAGGAAACACACAAACACTTGAGCAAGCACCCAGTCACAACATGAAGTGACAGAGTTAAACCTGACTCGAAGGTACAGGGTAAACTAAACTGTTTTATATATTTTCAGTAACAGCACATTATCTGTTTGATGTGTACAGATATGTGCAGACCAGCTCCTCTGAGCGTATTGTAGACAGGGCAGAGGTAGACCCTGGAGGTGTGCGGTTGTGTTTGGGGATCAKCCAGGTGACAGCCTATTGTGYGTWAAGTTCCTTGGGCTTGGATTCTGTGAGCCGGCCTGCCACGCTGCCCCAGCAAGCCCCTTCCGAGAATAAACCATGAATGTAGCCRCCAGCGTGAGCGAGGTACGACTCTCTGACACTGACCTGTCGTCACCTGAGGGAGGAGGAAAAAGAGACGGGGAAGAAATGAGGTCATCGTCAGAGGAAACATAACTCTTCACAACAACTTTAAAAAGAACAAAAGATATATAAGATAAAAGATACATATAAGATACTCTCTTATATGATTTGAGCCAGTGAGGAAAAATTAACTACCTCAAAGTCAAATCCAACAGTGTCAACAGAGCAGCCAGAGTGACGGATGTAATTCTGGAGGTTACCAGTGAGAAATGCATGTGGGGGAAAAGAATCCACTAATCCAGAAAACAGGTGGAGGACCTCTGGAGATCCATCTCTGCAAGAAACTGGTCCTCTAAAGCAGTGGTTCCCAAAGTTGGGGTCAGGGCCCACAATGGGGTCCCAAAACATCAAGGTGGGGTCCTGAAAAGATTTTCTGAATTAATTATATTAGAAAATAAAAACTAACAACATTTTTGTTTGCCTTTGTTTTTACAAAGTGTAAGGTTGGTGTACCCAGAACTGACAAAAAATGCATAATGAATATTGTTACTATGCTCTTATTTTTTTGACATGAAAACATTGTTTATGATCCAACAACAGTTGGGGGCTCAGGTCTCTGCTGCTGGTATTTTGAGGGTCAAAGGCTGAAAAGTTCAGGAACCACTGCTCTGAAGGTGACACGAGAGAAACTCAGGTTTCAAAGGCCTGTTCAATGGATAGTTCTGGACTTTCTGACAAAAAAATAACTTGTATTTATTAGAGTGAATCAGAAATTTTAACTGAAGTCATCTCATGTTTGGTTTAATGACATTTCATATTTATGGATGGTCAGAAATTTGGCTTCCGTTGTAAAAAATATATATAGTTAAACAAAACTCACTAAATCAGAACCCATAGACAGAGCATTTAATAATTCAGATGTGTTGTATATACAGTATTCTGACTTTCATCTCTACAGTGAACACATTATTGAGTGAGAGAATGAGATAATTTAATCATATCTTTTTACTGTTTGCACTTGATGTTTATATTGTCATTTTGTGTTTTACGTCATTTTATATTGTATTTTTTTTTTACTGTGTGTTGCCCTTGAGTGTCATAAAAGGTACCTCCAAATAAAAAGTTTTGTTATTATTATTTATATATGAGGTAGAGCAATAATTGAACATGTGGTGTAGGTTAATGGATGAGCAATACGTTTAGAGACTCAGAATCAGTCACCCTGAAAGGCTGAGGGACGCTTTCAGCTATGCCAATCTTCTCCACCATCTTTGGTTCAAGGCTAGGCAAATATCAGACTAGATTACACGTCTTTTACATTTTTAACTATTTTTATCAATTATGCATACATTATTATTATTATTATTATTATTATTATTTAACACAACTATTTATAACAAAATAAATAACAAAAATCAGTTTATAGCAATACTTCCTCAAAAGGTTTGCCTTCAGCAGATGCATGTGAAACCCGAGGCTGGAAACAAGCTACAGCCTTTAAGGCAAAGGCCTCATTCTGGTCAAAGCAGATGTTAGTGTTGTCACAGAAACCAAGGATCTCAACTGTCATTGATGGACAAATCTGAGGATGTGCGCTAAAACAACCGTAGGGTCAGAATTCACATAACAACAGATCATTCAGGCGGTCAGGTGTAGCTGAACATTTAACATGGTCCAACGTTGAACACAAGTGTGAACAGCATTTATGGATAACATTTAATCTACATGCTTTATGATGATCCCTCAGCTTTAAACACAGGTTTTCTACAYAATCTGATGCACACAAGGATGAAGGTGAATACAAACAAGCTCCTAAATGTTTCTGTGCTTATCTCACCTTGATGTCCAGATTAGAGTCTGTTCATCTGCAGACAGACGATGAGGAGACATGATCTGCACTGAGAACAGAGGGACAACAGAAGTCTTCCAGCACACCGAGCAGACATCGTCTGTCCCAATCATCTGTCACACGGCCGCCATAACTGAGCTGCCCAGCCGTGCATTTTACAATCTGGACWTGTGGAGGACAAAAAAAGGAAACAAAATGATGGACAGGGTTAAACACATTCTGTGCTTCACACCAAACTACACTCTGCTCACATTACATCTAGAAAGATTTCTCCACAATATAACCGTGAACTACTGCGTTTTCTGTGGTGGGCACAGTAATCCATTAATGGATAACAGCTAAGCTAACTTGTTGTTTAGCAGATTAAAAAAAATCAGCGTAGTTTGGAAATTCATCACGGACTGAATAATTTGT